GCGTTAATTTGAATAGATATGATCAAGCTAGGGGTTTATTTAGACAACTATGTTCAAGCTGGGCGTTATTCAAACAGTTATGTACAAGCTAGAAGTTGATTTCAACAGTTATGATGAGTTGGATAGTTATGCACAAAATTCACAAAATAGCAATTGATTTTGAAATATGTACACAAAATATACATTGAATTTTCAAAATAATGATAGCATATCGCTAACATGTCTATCTTATATAAATCTGGACTAAACCCACTTACTCATACAATCACTAGGTGAAGTAGAGCCTACATTTTCTGTTGTATATCCGTCCTCGCATGATGAACAGGCTTCAAAACGAGATAATTGGTCTCCGTCGTTATATGTGCCTTTATGACAATTTTCACACTGGCTTATGTACATATTGCTGTAGTAATATTGTCCAGCAGAACAATATTCTTAAATAAAAATAGAAACATGATATAAAAGATGTATGACAACATCAATATAAACTATACATTTCGTTGTTCGATAATATACACTCAAGTTGTCCCACAATCTAAGACTGTATGACAATATAAACTAAGGTTGTATGGCAATCTAAACTAAGATTGAATGACAATATAAACTTAGATTGTATGACAATATAAACTTAGATTGTATGACAATCTGACTAAGGTAGACTAACGGTTGTATGACAATCTAAACTAAAGATTTATGGCAATCTACACCCAGGATGACAATCTGCATCCTGATTTGTGATAATTTATCACTAGGTTTTATGACAAATGTATTCAAATCTAACGTACGAAAACAGTCACTTATATCCGTACTACCAGTTTGCTTGGTGCCTGTCTGATCTTGACATGCTTTACATTTGGTCGAGCTATCAGGTAATTCTAATTGTTGATAAGTATCAAAATCACAATCAACACATTTCTCCTTAGTCGTTGTTTGTCCTTTCCCACATATCACTGAAACACATATTACTTAAAGTTAAATCATTTACATTTACGTTTCTAAATTTTGGCTTTTTAATAGTGTAAATTCTTTAAAACCTCAGTCCCATTGGGCAAAGAAAAAAGTTAACAATTTTAATGCTTCGAAATGGTATACACAGAATGTTCGCCGTGCTTCTACGATGATCGCAAGGCATCACAAACCTTCTGACTTGATTGCGACAGCTTCGCATGAGCGAAAATATTTCAAGCTTGCATTTAAATTTGTGGATATCCATTCGCCGTGATATCGGCGAAGTAACGGAGAAATATTGCCGTACCATCTGTTACACTTCACCGATTGTCGATTGGTTGATTTTGCAATGTGAAACGCCGCGTGATTGGTCCCATTGGAGCTCGCGCGAAATTCTTATACGGTTGAATCTGCGACCGGTTTTAGGTTCCAGTGAACACAAACGTTTTTAAGAAGTTGTTCAACCATAAGTGAATTTTATAAACATTTTCAAAACATTTTGTCTTTGCTGTAGAGCAAGCATCCCAACAAACCACTAGAAGTGCAAGCGAAGCAACAGTAAGAGGTCTGCACATATGGAGGCCACATCTCCCGAACCACTCTTGGCGTTGAGCATCAAACGCACTTCTTGAAATTCCCGTACAATGTCCTGACACACTTCTCTCACTAGCATGGATATGCTGTCGTGTACACTGAATGAGTAAGCATGGCTGCAAGGCTGTCATATGAATTCTAAGTGGATAGATGCCGAAGAGTTTGAGCCAACTTGATTCCTGGACGATGGGGTACATGGACATTTGTAAGTTTGGGAGTAAGACGGTCTACAGGCTGATGAAAGAGGGAAACAGGGCCAGGGAGATGCAGTTGCTGCCAGAAGGAAAAGGAGCCCCCACACACAACTCGTCTCCAATACAACGCTGAATATTTCCGATAAATCACCAACAGTCGCCGACCAATCTTGGTCATATTCAACAGATCCATCGCAGATTATCGGCCTAACATGCCGCTTTACATCTCAAGGCATCGCAAAACTTTTCCACATTTCCCCATTCCAAACCATAGCCGGTTCCTAAACTGCCAGTGGGACTGAGGCTTAAACTATCGATCTATCCCCTATTGTAATTTTCCTGATATTACAATCATCATGAATACTACTGTCATTCTGTACTGTAGTTTTATATAACATTACTTACTAATATTACAGTCATCACGACTAGTACTGTCATTCTCTACTGTAGTTTTATATAATATTACCTACTAATATTACAGTCATCACGACTAGTACTGTCATTCTCTACTGTAGTTTTATATAACATTGCCTACTAATATTACAGTCATCACGACTAGTACTGTCATTCTCTACTGTAGTTTTATATAATATTACTTACTGATATTACAGTCATCAGGTATAGTACTGCCATTCTCTACTATAGTTTAAGATAACATTACTTACTTATATTACAGTCATCACGACTAGTACTGTCATTCTCTACTGTAGTTTAATATGATATTACTTACTGATATTACAGTCATCAGGACTAGTACCGTCATTCTCTACTGTAGTTTTATATAATATTACTTACTGATATTACAGTCATCACGACTAGTACTGTCATTCTCTACTGTAGTTTTATATAATATTACTTACTGATATTACAGTCATCACGGCTAGAACCGCCATTCTCTACTGTAGTTTTATATAAAATTACTTACTGATATTACAGTCATCACGACTAGTACTGGCTTCATCGTCTGTAGTTAAAGAAAGCGGACAAGCAGTACAGTTGGAAAACACATCGACCTCATTTGTCTTGTAAAATCCTCGTTTACATGGAACACAGTCTTCCATCATTTCATAACCATCTTCACAATAAGCTGAAATTAAACTGCATTAGCCAAATGTTTTCTTGACCATGATTGTTATTACAAAGACCGATTACCAAATTTATTACAAAAGTAGAAATTAATTACAATCCGAAGCCTTATCATTTCAGTACAAAACGTATTTTCTTTCTCTACTATCAAGGCACATCATACTAATTTTGACAACTATATTATTTACCAATAGACAAAGTTGATGATGTACGTTCTTTCCCAACTAATAATACACCTTATACTTACCCTTACAGTCAGATATACTGTCAGACCCTTCTGATACCGTACTTTTTTTCTCTCCACAATCTATACCTTCTATTTGATGACGTGATGGTTGGTATGTTCCTATCGGACTAATATCACAGTCATCACGACTAGTACTGTCATTCTCTACTGTAGTTTTATATAACATTACTTACTGATATTACAGTCATCACGACTAGTACTGTCATTCTCTACTGTAGTTTTATATAACATTACTTACTAATATTACAGTCATCACGACTAGTACTGTCATTCTCTACTGTAGTTTTATATAACATTACTTACTAATATTACAGTCATCACGACTAGTACTGTCATTCTCTACTGTAGTTTTATATAACATTGCTTACTGATATTACAGTCATCACGACTAGTACTGTCATTCTCTACTGTAGTTTTATATAACATTACTTACTAATATTACAGTCATCACGACTAGTACTGTCATTCTCTACTGTAGTTTTATATAACATTACTTACTAATATTACAGTCATCACGACTAGTACTGTCATTCTCTACTGTAGTTTAATATAACATTACTTACTAATATTACAGTCATCACGACTAGTACTGTCATTCTCTACTGTAGTTTTATATAACATTACTTACTAATATTACAGTCATCACGACTAGTACTGTCATTCTCTACTGTAGTTTTATATAACATTACTTACTAATATTACAGTCATCACGACTAGTACTGCCATTCTCTACTGTAGTTTATGATAACATTACTTACTTATATTACAGTCATCACGACTAGTACTGTCATTCTCTACTGTAGTTTTATATAACATTACTTACTAATATTACAGTCATCACGACTAGTACTGTCATTCTCTACTGTAGTTTTATATAACATTACTTACTAATATTACAGTCATCACGACTAGTACTGCCATTCTCTACTGTAGTTTAAGATAACAATACTTACTGATATTACAGTCATCACGACTAGTACTGCCATTCTCTACTGTAGTTTATGATAACATTACTTACTTATATTACAGTCATCACGACTAGTACTGTCATTCTCTACTGTAGTTTTATATAATATTGCCTACTAATATTACAGTCATCACGACTAGTACTGTCATTCTCTACTGTAGTTTTATATAATATTACTTACTAAGTTTGCAGACATCAGAGCTAGTACTGGCTTCACCGTCTGTAGTTTTATATAATATTACTTACTGATATTACAGTCATCAGGAATAGTACTGCCATTCTCTACTATAGTTTAAGATAACATTACTTACTTATATTACAGTCATCACGACTAGTACTGTCATTCTCTACTGTAGTTTAATATGATATTACTTACTAATATTACAGTCATCACGACTAGTACTGGCTTCATCGTCTGTAGTTAAAGAAAGCGGACAAGCAGTACAGTTGGAAAACACATCGACATCATTTGTCTTGTAAAATCCTCGTTTACATGGAACACAGTCTTCCTTCATTTCATAACCATCTTCACAATAAGCTGAAATTAAACTGCATCAGCCAATTGTTTTCATGACCTTGACCGACATTGTAAAGACTGATTACCAAATTAAATATTTTAACTAGTTATGAGATTTTGTGCCCGATTTTTTGCTTTTGGGGCTGCGAGGGGAGAGGGGGCGGCTCCCTGCCCTTTTTCTATTTCCAACTGTCGAGGGATCTTTAACGTGCACAGCCTGTACCAATCTAAACGACAACACGCCTCTTCCATGCCCGGAATGAATGAATCCTGTACCTTCAGGTTAGCGAGAAAGCTACTAACTCGCTGAGCCACTGCGGCCCCCTTTGAATTAAAAAAAATAATCATAATAATCATATATATGCTCTACATACTAATCAGATTAATGACCTACATAATAATCAGACTCACGACCTACATAATAATCAGACTCACGACCTACATAAAAATCAGATTAATGACCTACATAATAATCAGATTAATGATCTAAATAATAATCAGACTGATGACCTACATAATAATCAGAGTGATGACCTATATAATATTAAGATTGATGGCCTTCACAATTATCAGACTGATGACCTACACAATAATCAGATTGATGACCAACATAATAATCAGAGTGATGACTTATATAATAATCAGATTAATGACCTACACAATAATCAGACTGATGACCTACACAATAATCAGATTGATGACCAACATTATAATCAGACTGATGACCTACATAATAATCAGAATAATGACCTATATAATAATCAGATTAATGACCTATATAATGATCAGATGGATGACCTACATAATAAACAGACTGATGACCTACATAATAATCAGATTAATGACCTATATAATGATCAGATGGATGACCTACATAATAAACAGATTGATGACCTACATAATAATCAGTTTGATGGCTTACATAATAATCAGATTAATGACCTATATAATGATCAGACTAATGACCTACATAGCAATCAGATTAATGACCTATATAATAATCAGATGGATGACCCACAAATCAATAAGACTGATGACCTACATAGTAATCAGATTGATGACCTACATAATAATCAGATTAATGACCTACATAATGAACAAACTGGTGACCTACATAATAATCAGACTGATGACCTATATAATAATCAGATTGATGACCTACATAATAATCAGATTGATGACCTATATAATAATCAGATTGATGACCTACATAATAATCAGACTGATGACCTATATAATAATCAGATTGATGACCTACATAATAATCAGACTGATGACCTATATAATAATCAGATTGATGACCTACAATTGAGCATAAAAACTTACGTTGACAATCCGTTTTGTTAGTAGAACCGATAGCCAATGCTTTCGTCGAAGGTTCGCACTTCTTACATTCGGTCTGCCATTTTTCATCTTGATATTCCTCATCGGTACATGGAACACATAAGCTTTTGTCTACATCGAGATAGTTACCACTCTGACAAGGAGCTGCAATCAGAGATATATTCATACCAGATAATAAGTTAGTAATAAAATAGACTTTTAATACTGTTAAGAGTTCGACACAAGAGTAAAACAGTCCAGAATGTGTGTACTATTTTTGTTTTGGAAAGAAAGTACAGTACTACATTCCACCAGCGACGGAAAATTAATTCTTCAAGGGGCGCCAAAAGCCCTTTTTTAACACTTGTCAGAAAAAATCCCCAATTGGCACTACAGTGCCCCTCTATTATTCTAGATATTCAATGCATTGTTGAATCCTAATTTTCGTTCCCGTCTTCAAAATGTGAGCATACGCAGATAAGTTATGATGGTGTCCTTTTCTTTATTCCTTTGAGTAAAATAAACGCCTAATTGTAGAGAAATTATGTTTCCTACATATTCTAAAGGTTCCAATTAATAATATAGAGCCATTATAAAGCCAAAACTAGGTCAAACTGCTTAATTAACAATTGTTACTCTCAGTTTTAATTAACCCTTTAAAACAAATTCAACAAATATTTTCAAGTTTAATTTACAACGTTTTTTATGATCAAAACCTTTTACAAAAAAGCGGAATACCTCTTTAAATGTTTTATTTCAAATATCGGATTGTACAAAGGGCGCAGATGTTTAATGGACGCTAAAACGATTTCTGCCCTCCAGCCAATTTGAAGCCACCACGCCAGTTATTACTTACGATATCGGCATTCCTCTGCAGAAGTAGCACCCTTTCGTAATGCTATCTTATCCCCAGGACACAGCGTACACAATTCATCTAAAGAGGCATTGCGATAATAATTCTGGTTGCAGATATCACAAGGTAGTCCATCAGTAACCGGGACTTCATATCCATCAGTGCAAGTATTTTCTGAAGTAAATGGGACATATATTTAATTTTATGAGAATCATGCGAAATTACAGAGTCCAGAAAGCAAGCAGAATGTGGTACGATAGTAGTGAGACGCCATTGACCTAAAAAAAATACATGAAGTCTGAAATGTGATAACTGTATAATTATATTCTGTCTCGATAAGTGCTATCATTTAGTACCACGCAAAGCGATTCAACCGGTGGGTGTAAAATTCGAGAATTAATCCCGTCAAAGGCTGTGCATAAATTTGGAAATTACAACGTGTTTCGTGTATAGTGATTTTACTTAGCTAAATCATTATTATTTTGACAATCAATTGACAAATCAAATTATTAATTAGTATATTATCACCGTCGACATTGAAAAGTGTCATCGATATCCAAATCTAATTTAATAGGATTGAGCAGGAAGAAATCTATACATTCTGAAAATGGGGGTTTTACAACATCTGGTGTAAACCGGAATGTAACACAGATTCACTAAGTCTGTTGGCAGTCTAGGGGAATGGGATTGGATTGTGGTCGTAGGGAATGAATAGACTAAAAAATATTTTCTCTTTAGTATTTAGCAAAGCCGACTGACGTTAATGGAACCTTAAGGCCTAACTCAAAGCGTGTAGTAAGTGACTATTGACTAGCTGGAAGCTACAAAATTTACAAAGCAGTGTTTGGGATGTTGCCTGGTTATGGGAATTGATTGAACTAGGCTGGAACTTCTGATATTAATAAGAAACCATATTTGTCTCAAAACCACGGGCATGGTGAGCTATTTTGTCACCGACCACAAATAAATAATTATTGTAATTTAATAATAAAATGATATCAATTGATTGTTAGTGTTAGTATGAATAAGAGTACTAAAACTAATGTACATGAAGAAACATAGTTGTTATGATAATAAAATATGTTTTAAAATATTCTGTAAAATATTCTTGAGCCTCTTGAGCGAAACTTTATTCTCGATTGTTATGTCTTTTCTAACCCAATTCGGACAAGTCGGGGAGTTCGAGAATTCGGAATTTTACACCCATCGCGATTCAACCATATCGAATGGTATTTATGAGACTTGATTCGGTATCTTATTTGTGGTATGAACAAATAAGACTGGCAAGTATAGGACTATTTCATTTGCCAACGACACCATGAAATACATACCAACACAACCAGATACCTCTGTGGTTCCTTTGCCTTTAGTTATCTTAATTAAAGGACATGGTAAACACCAATCTTTTCCTTCTTCGGGTTGATAAAAATCTTTTGGACATTCCAAACATGAACCACTTGAACTATCATAATAGCTTCCAGCTGAGCATTTTTCTGTGGAGAAAGCAAAGCATGAAGAGTATGCTTTTAAAAAATGCAGCAGTACGCTCAACACGTAGTCTGGAGATATCCAAGTATTTTGTAGTTTCGAATCGCTGGGTATTACAGAAAATTACATCAGTTTCAAAACGCTCACCTCATCCCACACTCCTTATTTTGTATTGACATTCAGATCTATTATTCACCCAACTTACCGATACACTGGTCCTCACTTGTAGACGCCATTGCCAATGTAGTTTGATTATTCCCAGTACAACTATTACAGCTTGTCTGGTCGGAATTATCTTGGTAGAATCCATAATCACAAACATCACATTTCTTAGTCGAGGGGTTATAAACTGAACCCGGGCCACAGGTAACTGTAATGTAAATAAAATATCGAGTAGGAATAGGTACACAATTTGATTACGTGGGAAAGATATAGTAAGGCAATTCCTAACACAAGAGAGCAATGGATCATTATTACTATAACAAATTACAATTTTTTTGTACAAGATAATGATTTGTGTAAAGTGATACTGATATGGGTGTAAAGTAATACTGATATGGGTGTAAAGTGATACAGATATGGGAGTAAAGTGATACAGATATGGGAGTAAAGTGATACTGATATGGGTGTTAAGTGATATGTGGGTTTAAAGTCATATAGATATGGTTGTAAAGTAATACAGATATGGGTGTAAAGTGATACAGATATGAGTGTAAAGTGATACAGATATGGGTGTAAAGTGATACAGAAATGTGTGTTAAGTGATATGAGTGTAAAGTGATACAGATATGGGTGTAAGTAAAGTGATATAAATATAGGTGTAAAGTGATACAGATATGGGTGTAAGTAAAGTGATACAGATATGAGTGTAATGTGATACAGATATGAGTGTAAAGTAATACAGATTTGAGTGTAAAGTGATACAGATATGGGTATAAAATTATACAGTACAGATAGGGGTGTAAAATGATACTGATATGGGTGTAAAGTGATACTGATATGGGTGTAAAGTGATACTGATATGGGTGTAAAGTGATACTGATATGGGTGTTAAGTGATATGTGGGTTTAAAGTCATATAGATATGGGTGTAAATTAATACAGATATGGGTGTAAAGTGATACAGATATGGGTGTAAAGTGATACAGATATGGGTTTTAAGTGATACAGATATGGGTGTAAAGTGATACAGATATGAGTGTAAAGTAATACAGATTTGGGTGTAAAGTGATACAGATATGGATGTAAAATGATACAGTACAGATAGGAGTGTAAAGTGATACTGATATGGGTGTAAAGTGATAAAGATATGGGTGTAAAGTAATACAGATATGAGTGTAAAGTGATACAGCTATGGGTGTAAAGTGATACAGAAATGTGTGTTAAGTGATATGAGTGTAAAGTGATACAGATATGGGTGTAAGTAAAGTGATACAGATATGGGTGTAAAATGATACAGTACATATAGGGGTGTAAAGTGATACATATATGGGTGTAAAGTAATACAGATATGAGTGTAAAGTGATACAGATATGAGTGTAAAGTGATACAGATATGGGTGTAAGTAAAGTGATACAGATATAGGTGTAAGTAAAGTGATACAAATATAGGTGTAAAATGATACAGATATGAGTGTAAAGTGATACAGATATGAGTGTAAAGTGATACAGATATGAGTGTAAAGTGAAACAGATTTGGGTGTAAAGTGATACAAATATGAGTGTAAAGTAATACAGATATGGGTGTAAAGTGATACAAATATGGGTGTAAAGTGATAAAGATATGAGTGTAAAGTAATACAGATATGGGTGTAAAGTGATACAAATATGGGTGTAAAGTGATACAGATATGAGTGTAAAGTGATACAGATATGAGTGTAAAGTAATACAGATAGGGGTGTAAAGTGATACAGATATGGGTGTATAGTGATACTGATATGGGTGTACTGTAAAGGGATACAGATATGGGTGTTAAGTGATATTCGGGTTTAAAGTCATATAGATATGGGTGTATAGTGATAAAGATATGGGTGTAAAGTAATACAGATATGGGTGTAAAGTGATACAGATATGGGTGTAAAGTGATATAGATATGGGTAAATAGGGATAAAGATATGGAAATTAAAATGAAAGTGTAAACTTACCACAGACATTATTGATATTCGTTGCACCAAACTTGCAATCCCCATTTATCGGAAGGATGTTGACAGAAGCCAGTTGTGCTATTCCATCTAAAGTCTAGAATAAAGACTTCAAAATCAGTCTATAGTGTTAACTCCAATCGTTTTTTTGTGAGGCAATTCATTAAATTTCAACAAATTTATCATCTAAAATAATTCATTTTTGTGGCAGTTTCACAAAAACACTCAGTGATATGTTTACATTAAGGTCAATAGAGGGAGTATTACTATTATGAACTTTAATTGCAAACATTCTTTCCCACCGCTATAAAGCGCCGACACGACTTGCCACGACCTCTACACGGCGTTGCGGAGACATAACTCGTGCAAGTGTCAGTGTAGCATAAGTCTTCGTTATGTAAATTCTGGTTACTCCTCTTAACCTAGTAATTTATTCTTCAATTACTTTTTGTGCTGAGGAACATTTGACATTTTTAACCCCTTGGAGCCACTATGGTATTGATTGTTTTTGGTCCATTTAAGCCCCCGTGTTATTCTTTTTCCCGGCCACTTTGTGTTGAGAGAATGCGCAACGAAGAGCTCTTTCATTTCATACGCGAAAACCATATCTTTGAACAAGCTTTAACCTTAAGTTAAGCCTTGGGTAAATCCCAGCCTCTCCGACCATCGTGTCCAAATCACGCCCCCATTCGTTATACTTCCTATATCCGTGGTAACACAAGTGAGAGAAATTACGTATTCATAGCTAAATATTGTCCAATCAGAATTGACCCTGCTGTCTTGGTTGTCCATATTTTCGGTAAATTGAAATATCTCGAATGATGCCGGGATTGAACCCTAGACTCTTAGGGAACAAGCGTCAAGTCAAATTCACTGAGCCACTGCAAGGCGCTGGTTGTCTTAATTTATGAAAAAAAACAAAAAAAAAACATAGGAGTCGACCAAACTATACCATACCAGAAAATTGAAGTCACCAGAATCCAAAATCAAGAATTTAAAGAATTCCAATGGACTTAATTCATAATCTCCAGTCAGTTTTGATCTACAACAATAGTAAAAACACGATATGAAAATGAAAAATAAAGTTCTCATCAAATAACAACACATTGATACGGTAAAGTGTTTCTTCGACAGGGTAGCTTTAGTGGATATCGCCAGCGATCAGGACAAGTTGACTCATCTGTAACACGCGATGCCAAACCATAATCTCTTTCGGAAAGTTCATATAGCTAATACGGCCAATCTGGTATTTATTTTCTACGTTTAGAACAGTGGTTCCCAACCTATTTTAGCCTTCACCCCCTGAAGCAATCACGTGGACCTTTCACACCCGAAAATTTGTTTCATCTCCATTTTCACCATGTGATGATGAACTCAAAATGAAGTCTTCTCCTACACCAGTTGGCCACATCCCTGACACCCTAGTCCCACACCCATAGGGGGGTTTCGAAGATAATCACAATTTCTATACTTACGGTAATTGACGAGCTTCAATAACCACTATTATTTCGTTATCGACATCATCACATATACTTTTTACTTCAACATTACTACAATTGACATCAGTGCATAGTCCAGTCCATTCCACATCTAGTTCTGAGCGGAAGATAACGAAAAAACAGATTGGAACTTAATAGATGCTGGACAGACAAACGTAGTTTTGAATGGGTGGATCTAAGAATCTATGATAGGGACGACAACTCAATTTGAACCATGTTTTCTAGGTCTGTTTACGTCTTACCTGATAATCAAGATTGCATGCCACGTACACGGTGAAAATGAAAAGTGATAGGCCTAAGTTAGCACAATTTCCGAAAATAGCGCATCTGTCCCTTTAAGCTAAATGAAAATGAAAACGTGAAACAATTCTCTCTTGGTAATTTACCTTTTATTTTCTGTTCGATTTTTTCTTTTACGAATTGGGCTTTTTCTAAACAATCTTTCCAATTAACACGAAGCACAATTACCGATTTTATAGTCGTCTTTACAATGGCTTTCTCTACAATACACCCAAACATTCAGTTAAAGAAGATGATTAGTTGGTGTGTGTGCGTTTGTGAGGTAGCTGTGGGTGGGATAGATTTCGTTTAAGAGCCTAATGGCGAGCTCATAAAAGGAAATAGGTTTGGTGAATATTTAAGAAATGACCGTCAATAAATGTTACAATGTTTCCCGAATTATCGATTGCTTGGACAGATAAATGACCACAATATCTTTTCAGTACTGTGTTTCCAGCTCTTGACACCAGGTACAGAAACATGCCCCAGACAGACAATAGGGAAATCTTTAAAACGAAGCTTACCTCCACAAGGTGGACTGGTAGTGGGTGTCCTCCAATCTAGTCCGTTATACGAACCAAGTTTACCACACGTGTACATTTTAGGAGTAGGGATTGATGGAAGGAAATCTACTTCTCGACATAAATTTGTCATACCATTGCTGTCTGCTGAACAAGTTTTTAACAATATTTCTGACGGAAATTTGAGTTTCCTTGTGTCATTGTTTCTCTCACGAGAGATGTAGAGCAGTTTTTATCTGTAACAGAAAAAAAACCAAGTTTATAACTGACAAGAACAAGAACAGCTCCGAGCGTGACAAAGAGACCTTATCGATTCAACACCGGTGCTTTTAAGCCTACAATTTGTGAACACGAAATTACTCTAGTACGGGCGTAAAAGGGCACAAAAGTAAATATTTCCACTTGTTTGCATTAGCAAGTTATTATTTTGTTTTCAAAAAACAATATTTAGCCTTAGTAGGCCTGGTATTATCTAGTTTACAACTATATAGGTTATATTTAGTTTACAACTATATAGGTTATATTTAGTTTACAACTATATCGGTTATAATTAGTTTACAGCTATATAGGTTATATTTAGTTTACAGCTATATAGGTTATATTTAGTTGACAGCTATATAGGTTATAATTAGTTTACAGCTATATAGGTTATATTTAGTTTACAGCTATATAGGTTATATTTAGTTTACAGCTATATAGGTTATATTCAGTTTACAGCTATATACGTTATATTTAGTTTACAGCTATATAGGTTATATTTAGTTTACAGCTATATAGGTTATATCTAGTTTACAGCTATATAGGTTATATTTAGTTTACAGCTATATAGGTTATATTTAGTTTACAGCTATACAGGTTATGTTTAGTTTACAGCTATATAGGTTATATTCAGTTTACACCTATATACGTTATATTTAGTTTACAGCTATATACGTTATATTTAGTTTACAGCTATACAGGTTATATTTAGTTTACAGCTATATAGGTTATATTTAGTTTACAGCTATATACGTTATATTTAGTTTACAGCTATACAGGTTATATTTAGTTTACAGCTATATAGGTTATATTTAGTTTACAGCTATATACGTTATGTTTAGTTTACAGCTATATAGGTTATATTTAGTTTACAGCTATATAGGTTATATTTAGTTTACAGCTATATAGGTTATAATTAGTTTACAGCTATATACGTTATGTTTAGTTTACAGCTATATACGTTATATTTAGTTTACAGCAATATACGTTATATTTAGGTAATATAATGACATGGTTAACAAATAAAAGATCACTATTATTGGAAAAAAGGACTTGTCTATAAATCCGAATGTTTGATTTCAGAGGTTAGGTTACAATGAATATTGTTACTATGCGTTATAGTTTGTCCCTCACAGGAAATCAACATGCTTTATATCTTAGAAACTAGTATTAGTATGTAATAGTATTCAGTATATTGATAAACCCAAAACGGATAACGGAGACTAGAATGGCCGGCGATATTCCAATATTTTACTCACTATTTCTATATATGCCTTTTCTATATATCATATACGAGTCGTCATCTTAACATTCAAACGCGGATAATTCTGGACACACATGGATTTGAAGGCTCGACGGTGAGCTGTGAACAATATAACTGATTGGCTTGGCTAAAAAATTCCCGTTTCTGAGACTAAGGTACAATTTATAAAATAAGGCTTAAGATAGGAGAATAAGGACTAAATGGAAGAATCGGTGTACTTTTAGCTAAGTAGTGACAATCTGACACTGTTAAATTCCATTGAGCCAACAAAATCAGTTCTCTGTTGCTATGAGCGTCCATGTTGGATTCTTTTTTTTATATATTCGACCTTTTACTACATACTATTTACCTTTTTATTACATTATTGGACTACATTGTCCTCACCCTTTGATCGGTTGTCTTTCCGAGGGCGTGAAAGAGAACTAATAATGGCACGATATATTGGTGAACGAATAGGCCTACATCGAGATGGCGCACCTGTCCCTTTAAAATAAGTTGTGTTTTTCATCGCAACGCTTTCCACAGACTTCAAACCATCTTCACCAAAATACACCAAATATCATATTTATAAATTTATTTCTTTAAACAAATTTTTGTTGTCAAATCCGCTTGAGACATTTGCTTGGTGTAGTAACGACATTGCAGCATATGGCCGCTAATGTTGGAAATTCTCGTTCGCCCTCCATTTTCGCATGCCTAATTATGACTAATGTTTGGTCTAGAAATAGAATTCGATGTCTGAATTTGTTTTTATTTCTTAAAGATATTTAGTTAGATATTAACTTTAAGTTTGACTTCTTCGAAAATTTCAAAAGTCATTATATTGAATTTTTGTCCAGAAACTAAGTATTGGTCATAGGCTTTCATGCTATATATTGAAAAGTTTTTAACAATATTTCTGACGGAAATTTGAGTTTCGTGATTTAACATGGGAAGAGATGAATGAAAAATGAACTAGCGTCCTACAAGTTTGGTACAAGTTACTCCCTCTGGTTGGTAAAACCAACAAAACACGAAAACAAAATACATTTTATCCAGGAAACAACTGGAGAAATATTTTCGAGAGTAAAATAAAAATTTGATCTCCGAATCAAAGTATTATGTCTACTTACGTGTTACAACAATTCTTATAATGCAAATAAAATGTTCATCAGCCTCTTCTTCGAACAAAATTACAAGATCATGCGTTCCTAATGGAAATTTACCTTCATCTATAATATTCAGAAACATTAACAAAAATATAAAATATAAATTGAAAAAATTAAAAAAAAACATGTAGTTCAATGAAACAGATGTGCCATATTTCTGAGTAATTTCGTGATGTCAGCCATAAAACTTTTTTAATAAAGACTTCAGGAGAGAGGTTTCCTTGCTCAAGATGTTTGGATGTTAAAATATTGCCTCTATAACTGAATAATCCTCATCTAGAGCATATCGAATAAAAGGCAACATGTAAACATGAAATAATCTTTTATCATATAAACTGGCATGATAGTGTATGTTCGAGAAACTGATCAAAATCAGTGACTACAATAGGGACCATGGGTCCCAAACCCTATGTGGGCCCAATCCCGGGAAAATGTAATATTAACAAGCATTAAATTGACTTACAGAGTGGTCTCGGAGTGTGGGAGAGCATATATGTTTAAATAAAATTCCCAGGGAAGGGCCCCCCACTCATCTGGTTGAGCCACTGATCAAAGTAATCTGGTTGTTAAATCCGTAGCACATTTTTATTCTTAATTTACAAAACACCTCGAGTCCGAATTTTTTTTATTCAATAATGCATCGCTTAGAATAAAGCTGTCTTTTTGAATACCTATATGTTAAGAGAGTGGCCAGACAAAGCAACGGACGATTACGACACTTGATTCATTCCTAGTTTTGATAGGAGTTTTATTTTGTTGATGTAATGTTTTTATTTAAGTTACGTTTATTATTCATGATAGATTATACAAATAATTAAAAGAGCTTACGTGTTCCTGGTACTTTCAATATATTTGGATATTCTGTGATAATTGGGGTTATATCAACAGACCGTTCATCTATTGGTATTTCAAACACTTCAAATTCTCTTTCTGGACAAAAATCCAATTCTGTTTTATCTAAAACAAAGCATGTGCAAATACCATCAGTAATCAATCTCTACAACGACCCCAAGAAAGCCATAGATTCTGAACATGATGGCTCAATCAGTTTCATCGGCTTATTATGATTCTAAAGAGCTAGAATATGTTGGCAAATCAAAGAACAATAACGAACGATAACATTGTGTGGATACTCAGTCGAGTCAAGCCAAGATATAGTCGGCCGGCCAAATAAGCTAAACCTTTCAACCTTTCAGAAAAATATTTGTTGGCAAAGGTCTTGTTACAAGCAAGCTACCATGCCTATAATGTTTATTTTGGGGTCACAGGTGAGGGTTATATAACCATATATAACCAATTTGGTACAGGTGGTTACCATGGCAACATAATTTAAAGTCTTTTTTTCCAACAATAAAACTTCATATTACTTACAGAAAGATAATTTTACACGCAAAGATCCTTGTTTATGCCCGATTATGTAATACGTTGTTACCATAGCAACGGGGAAGTTATGGTGTGCTCAACCCCACTAACTCTCACCAGTGACCCCAGATAAACATTATAGACACGGTTGCTTGCTTGTAACAAGACTTTGCCATCAAATTTTATTTCCATACATTGGCCGGCTGTCATAAGACAGGGAACTGCCAGGATGATTCAAACCATAAACATAAAGCAGTCTATTTCATTTTGTGGAACAATAAATAGTAATTATATAAACAGACCAGATTTATACTGTGATCATTATCACCTTATATTTCGATTGCTCATATTCATGTTTAGAATCGTCCTGCACATATCATTTTGCTTTACTATACAAGTTCTATATTAATATTTCTATTCATAGTTCAAAATATTTACAACTTACTCATCTTAATAATCTTTATCTCACATGCTTCATGATAAACTCTATTTTCACACAGATAGATTGGCTTGCTTGTATCCTGTAATCTGCTGGGAAAAATCCTAGTTTGGTATCTACTGCTTGGAATGTCTTTCCAGTTAAATATTAAATCAGTATTCGATATGTCATCAGGGTCGTTAATAGTTGAGGTTATTTCTGAGTGAAACAAAAAACGATTCCATAATCTCAGTCGAGAAATATAACCAACAAAGTCATGCCCAATTCTCACGTACCTACAAAACAAACAAGATAAATTTATCACGTTTCATTATGATGACCCGATATCCTTAGGTACCCTTTTGTAATTGAAGTGTCAAAGCTAGCTAAAATACCGTGAAATAATACTTACCCATGACTTTGACCCAATGCAATGTCGTGTTCTTCCAGTTCCCTGTAATTTACAATAATCTCTACTCTACCAGTGGATGAGACTGCGATAGCAATATGATTCCATTGCTTATTGTCTAAACGAAAATCGTTCAAATCTAAACTCGGAGAAGATTGAACATTGAAATATGTCGAAGTCAAAGTTACAACCTTTCTGAAATAAAGAATAATGTTATAATATATAGTAGTGGACATAGAAGGTAGGATAGCTTTAGGATTTTAATAGCGGACAGTGTACTATACTGTACGAGGGAATTGGCGTAGTGATACCACGAATGTGCATACCAAACGAGTGATATCACTGCACAAAGCCTCGAGTGCAATATTGAGAACCTATAGAAAAGTAGGACGTAAAACTCCATTCATTTCATTGAACGTGCGGTTTGACTTTTATTACATACTATTTTGTTTATTGTTATTGTTCATGTAATCCTAAGTGGGATTCCCCTGGAACGTTATATTACCATAGAGTTATAGATATTATGTTACGGACATACGATGACATCATAAGGAATTTCCTAGTATACAAAGGTCAACCTGTAATGCTAGGGGCTGACGAGCGTATTATTTCGCACGATTTCACGACTATTAAAATCGATTATGAAGGGGCACATGAAGAGATATTTTAGAGCGCTTATTTTCGTTGGAATTTTGCGGTCGACCAAGTGATTGGTACACAATGGCGGAGACATAAGCGGCCCAAAATATCTTACACAGGGATCACGAGCGATTTTTTTTCGCTCGATCGTAGCAAATTTTTAAATCGCGCAAAAAATTCGCTCGCGTGCCCGTGCTCGCGTCGACGGGGAAACTATAAATGAATGTTAGATATTTTCGGCCGATTATGTACGCCGGCGATTAAATTTGCTGGCAAATTCGCTCGTCTGCCCGTATCGGGCGTATTCTGTCGGCCAATCGATATCTTTCAAACAATCAGACGTCATGTTTATGTGTTGACACAAATAGATAGTACAGTCAAGTAACCTAATTTCGTGGTAACCTATTTTTCGTGGATTTCCGGAAAGGATTAATAATTTACATGTGCGACCTCACGTGACCTCCGCATTTGCTTGTTTTGATAAACATGGGTTATCTGTACAATGTCAGCTAGTAGAATGAATTCAGAAGTTTCAAGCAAGGTAAAATGTATTAATGTATACTTTGACAAATACAAAATGGCGGATTTCAGTTATATTACCAAACGTCACCATTTTTTATCGGCCGAATTTCTTTATAATCCCAAGCCGTAATCGGAATTCCAAGTGTCCTCTGCTAGAATGTAGTCCAACGAATGAAGTCACGTGATCAACTAGCGGATTCCGTGTCAGCAGAAAATTTTCTATGGAACACAAAGTAGGCCATATTCTTATGTTGTTTCAGTAACTTTTAGCAATAAATCACGCTACGTATCTTATTTTGTCAGTCACTATTTTTTTTTATTAAAAGCGTAGTTCTTTGACGGAATTGTCACTAGTTATAATGAATTGATATTAAAGATAAATACTAAGAGAAGTTAATTATACCACCCAGTATCCATACAACGTCTTTTTCTAGACTTATTTATAGATCAAACATTGTACCTGAAAATAGGTGACGCCGCCGTTGCCGAGTTGGTTGAATATGGGTCAAAGTAAAGGATTCATAAAGAAAATCGAAATAAACCAATTTTAATTATTTTGTAGAATATCTGAGGAAACATCTAAGACATAAAAAAAAAATTCGTTTTTTAACTTTGACGAAATTCGGTGTTGAATCCTTATATCAACGAAAATAGGTTACACCACTGTACTGACAGCGGCGACAAGGTCCTTTCTTCGTCGATCCGTCATTTTGTACTGATCACATGACATGAATGACGGAAAAATTCGGCCGATAAAATTCGCATTACTAATTCTTTATTCATCCCCAAAATAGGTAAAAACGGAAGTGCTTGTAGAAATCATAGCTCATGGTTGTTTGAACGTATTTTGAAATATGGTTTAATGGTAATTCGTTATCATCTATGTTACTGGAATCTAGTAGTGCAGCTTGGAATGAGCTAAGCGAGAAGGTGCATGGTAACTTGGTCACCGGGAATACGAGAAAGCAACAAAAATAGCGTCATTTGGGAAAAAATAGTTCCGACCGTATTCAAGTATGTGTAATATGGATAATAATTATTACTTGGGGTGAATCCCCTGTATTGGAAGAATAGTATTATACTTATTTGTAATAAATACATCTTCACTCTGACAAATAATAAACTGAAAACAGAAAGACTAATCCGTAGTAGTTTATACTTACTCTCCATTCACACCCCGAAGATAGAAGATTTCTTTGTGTATATTTACATCTAAACAGGCCACCCACAGAATAATTGTTAATCCTTTTGTCATATCGATATAAATATATTCCGATTCTGGCAGATTCACTTGAGTATTCTGTAGTTCACTGTTTATGAACAGGTCAAAATCATAAGATAGCTCTACAAAAAATACACATGATTAAATTTTCAATCGTCAGAAAGCTTTCAAGATGAGATTCTATTGGACATGTTATACGGGGGCTGGCTATACCAATGAATCATCATGCATGATTTTACCTCACTTTTTGAAAATCAAGTGCTTTTAGAAAGGCATTGCTTTGAATGAATATGAGATCATGTCTGGCATTTTCGGGCAATCACACAAGACCCAAACATTGTATCCAATAATCACATAAATCAATACATCTATCAATGCAAAAGCAATTTTATCTAAAGCAGGGGTTTTCAAGCTTGAGGTAATTTTGACATTTTCTGGGGGTAATGGCTCGCTTTGTGATCTAGCATAAAATGTTTGTACAATTATAATTCAATTTGTTCTTTTTGGACAGGCTATATTCTCCGACACGAAAAAGAAAAGGGGGAAGGGAGGTAATAGTAAGGATTTATAGGGAGAAGGAGGATATTTCAATTGATCAAGGATCCTTGAGGGGTTAAAAAAAAGAAAAGGTTGAGTACCCACGGTCTAAAAAATGAGCGCGAGGACAATCCTGAAGTTGCTGATATGCTGAAATTAAATGTAGGCCTATCTGATGATGAAAATCGAAGGGCATCCTTGCATTATCACAAACTTACAAACCAAAATTGAAAAATCCGACAAGAACTGTAGTCTGTAAGTAAAGCAAGCTTTAACGGACAGAAAGTGGCGACACTTACCCGTCGCGTGGGCGTGTAAAACTAATTATATTGGGGCAGCCTACCTTTACAGCCAGAATCTGATCTAACTTTGTAGTCTGGACACACACAGGTTGGTTGTATGAAAGGGTAGTCTGGATTCCAACAGGTAGACGGTGAGGGACACTCTAATGTTGAACATGGATCAATTAAACTTTCACACATTGTGCCTGAATACCCTACAAAATAGAACTAGATATTAAGGCGTTAATATATCATAAATACAGT